CCCCAAAACCCCAAAACCCCAAAACCCCATGATGCATAAATAATAGTTAATAAGGCTAATTCTTTTAAGGAAAATTAAACTATAAAAGCAACATAGACTTCATGAATATTTTTCAATTACAAGCAATCTCTATCATAATCTCTTCAGGAATTATCTAAAATTTCTGTCATTTAGCAGTGAATGGCATGTTTAGAACTAAATAAACAATCTTAAAACCATTTTGCCAAGAATATGACTGATTGTCATAATGTTAGAGCCAAGAAAATCTCTATCCTCTTGATTGTACTTTATTCCAACAAACCGATTAATTTCAATGTTTTTCACAAGGAGCCATTTTACTTTGAAGTAATAACTGCCTTTCTGGTCTCTTTGAAGAGGACTCATCACCTGAGCGATTCCTTGAAACATTCCAGACCTTTTAATTGAGAATATGAGATAAATGGGAGTGTGGTATCCCAGGTTATTCTTGATTCTTAGTTACTCTGCATCTTCTAAGACAAATTAGAATATCTCAAATTACTTGGGCTTTGGCAGCCAACATCCAGAAATAATTGAGTCAAATATCATGTTTTGATTCATAGATCTTATAAGCATGAACTTAGCAAATTGAGGATCATACTTTAAATATTTCTCATAGGTCTAGTTTAGAATATTGTTCTTTATAAGCCACAAGGTCTTAAGTTGTGGGTTTTCTACTGTTTTGTTATGTTTTTAAACTATTTATTGCTTATTAGATTGGGAAAATTTCAATTAATTTTGATAATTATTCTAATGTTTTACTGTCTGCATAAACTCTCCAGCATTTATCTATCTCATACATTCGACTTGTTTTTAAATCGGTTCAAAGTCAAGAGTCTCTTAGAATTTGACCTTCTTTCTTATGATCTCTTTCATTGGTGCAGTGTTTGATAACTAATCTTTAGAATTATCATCATAGATACCTCCTTCATTGACATTCTGAAGATGATGCTTCACTGAGTTAGCATATTCTCTTTCAGAAACTTTCAAATTATCAATTACTTCTAAAATAAGACCCTGACAAATTTCCAAAGATGTAGCAAAAGTCTGAGAATATTTACCATGTCTAGTTAGTTTGCATTATTAAGGAGCAGATTTAGCAGAGTTAAATTCAGTGTAGCGAATTTTATTTGCTAATTCTTTCTTAGACAAAGAGGATTCTGACTGAAAATTAGCAGGTAGGTCAAGGTTCTCTCTTGGTAAAATAATAGAGGTTTAATCCTTGGGAATCTCATTTAAATCATTACTTAATTGTGTTGTCAATGTCCTATGTATTTCCTATGAATCATTTGCTTCAAAGATCTAGGAGTCTTATTGATAGCTTATTTATTCAGATGTCAGTAAAGTACCAATTTGTGATTGATTAGGGCTTAAACTCATCAAATTTAAATTATAAATAATACCTCCTGGGAGTATTTATCTTTGAATATTTTTGGTTATCTCATAATTTTAACTTATGGGATTTAGTGATTTTTTATCAATAAACAGTCCATTCATTTTGAAAATTACAATAAGTGTATCATATCCCTTTAACGCTCATTAGTAATATTAATATTCTTACATTTTATGATACGAGCAAAGGCTTTTCATAATCAAGTTATATTTTCATTGTCCTTTCTTTTTGGTAAACAATCTACCATTTAAAATTTATCTGTTAACTTCCTCTTTTTGGGATTTTTAGCAATAGTTCTTTTTCTCCAAATTCTGAGAAATTTCCAAATATCATGATAGCTTTGCTAAATTCAATAGTGACTAGTCCAGTATTAGTTATATATTTTATTTCAGCCTCTAATTTGATGGAATCAGTTCCTTTTTAATCACTTAATCCTGTATTTGTCAGAGAATTATTTGCGATTTCCGCTAAATGTTATCTATTATCATTTACAGCATCAGAATTACTGTAATTTAAAACAACATTTATATAAATATCCTATCTAAGATCAACAGGAACACCACATCTAAGACTGCAAATTTTTCCACGCACCTCAGGCTCAAAGTATTAAGCTTTAATATAAATATGATGATTTTCTACATGCTTTCCTTAAGCATTAATCAAAAGACTGTATGATCCGGATACTTTGATAAAGTCACTATCTTTATAGCCAATATGTTTTTCATCAAAATATACTCTTATAGGATCAATATATTTAATGAAAAACTGAGTTTAGAAGTCAAATTTGAATGGCTAATAACCCCCAGCATATACTTATATGTGACTATCAGGTACCTGTGTAATTGGTTATTATAGTTATATTTACATGGAAATCATCAAATACTAGTTTTTAACCTTGCTTAATTTCAGGAGATACAATTATTTCAAAACTAAGTTAAGCCGTTACATTAAATGTTGCTTCAGTAATTGTACCTAAAATTTAAATTGCTAATATATATTACCTTCGAGGATTATTTTATATGTTCCTATGTATGAAGTGTCAGAAGTGTTCATGTAATAAATCAAATTATTTTCATAAAATTATATTATTGGAGGCAATGGCTGATTGTTTTAAGCTAGAAAGCTTTTATATCTAACAATTTTATCACATTAAGGAGTTTGCATAAAAGGATTTAGAGCAAATCCTAAAAATGGAACTTAATTAATGTAGTATTGATATTGCTTTGGCTACTTCTTATCTGGTATGAGTTCAAATACTTAGCAAATTATACTAATAGTTAGGAAAGCTGAAGCTGATTCATTATTGTATTTGTTGGTGGCTTGTATTTAAATCTAGTAGTCTCCTACTTTTGAATAATCATTGGTAAAGACTTGAATAAATCTGGAGGTTCCACTAAAATATATATAGTTTGGCTAGATCAAATATCCTAATACAGCTGCTTAATATGTAATCGGTCCACAAGTAGAAGGTGTGATAGTAAATGCTGAAAAGTATTATTTGAGTATATCTTTTCCTATATAGTATTGCATATCTTGTAGGTATTAAGGAGCTAATTTGGCTTTAACACATCTATTCAGGATTTTAATCTAAAAATTAGTGAAAGTAAAGTAACTTGCATCAATTGCTGATCTCCCGTATAATTAAAGCTTTAATACCCCCTCCTAAGAATCACTATTTGTATAAATTGTGAGATTAATCAATCTCATAGATGAGAACTGTAAAGAATTGGTGTTATAAGCACTTCCATCTTAATTTTGTAAAGTATATATTATAGCCTGAGCAGGATCAACATAAAAATTTGGAAGTATAATAACCTATGGGGAATCTCCGATAATATACTCATAGTTAGGAATGCTGGAAGGTATAAGATCATTCACTGCAACTTTTAAAATTACCATAAAAGTTACTTAAGTTTACTAACCATTAGGCAATGTACCAATTATGGAGATGTTGTACATTCCTTTGAGCGTTGAATTAGTTGTTAATATAGTGATATACGGATCTGAGGTTTATTTATCGATATTCAGAGAAAGAAACTACTGTACATTATAAGATCCAGTATTTTAAAGTAATGTGTAGGTAAAGGGCATATCTGAACAAGATTTTTAACTAGCTGGATCAATTGTATTAAACTATTTTATTTAATATTATAGTGAAGAATCTCCGATCAGAAAGATTTAATCAGGAACACTTGATGCTGTAATGGTTAACTTACAACAATCGCAAACTTGCTCATCGATCTAGCCATGTAAATTACTAATAACTACCAAATCTCTTGTAATATTGAATGTAAATAGTGATGTTAAAGTTGAATATTGAATCCAAGTAGCTTATCTATTCTAACTGATGACTTCACTCTTATCATAAGTTTAATTTACCCCAATGCAAGTCTAGCTGTTATTACTTACCATTAGAAACCCTGCTTAGTAGACATTGCTATTTAAACATCCTTTTAATTTTTGAATTTTTCCGGAGTAATAGTACTGACCATTTGTTATTATCATCCCGTCATATATTTGTAAATTTTCGTAGTTCCTATCTGTGATATAAATTCTTGAAGATGATATAGTTCCTGCATAGAATTATAAGTGTAGAATAAAAACCATTTTTACTATATCATCATATCCCATAATTATAGCATTTTGAGAAGTAGTCGCTTTTATATCTGTACAACTAGCAGATTTATCTTAATCCAAATAAGAGTACTGGTATGTCATAATTAATTGATCTCCTGCGACTTGTGAAGCCTATGGATTATTTGTAGTGCTTGCAATCCTATTACTTATGCTAGTTGTTAAATTTCGATTTGTTTATGTTTTTGTTGTGCTGATCATATGAAATATTTAAAGTCCTATTAATCAAGATGTTGATAATTTCACACCACAACCGAATAAGTTTTATTTATCATTAATTGGAATGGACATATGCTTAATCTTGAATTCACCTTAGATTGGATTGTAGTTTTATGATACCCAAGAAACTCCTTTGTCATCAAATTTTACAATTGCTGCTAACATGGAACTAAACTTTTGAACATAATCACCCTATAAGCGGATATTAAGATATAATTATTACAACTCTAATCAGTTAATTTATGTAAACTTGCCCTCCAATATAAAATTCATTAGAAAAGCCTTTGATATAGCATTAAGGATAGATATCTAAATAGGTAAAAAATGTTCCATCAATTTATGTCTATAGTTTATCAGTCATATTCAAATTAAATAGAGTTAATTTATTGACAGAATTCGTAGCTGCTACTTTTACTTAGATAGTTGAAAATGACATAAAATCAGCGTAACCTCCAAGGAAATAATTGAATTAATCTTTTGCTGAAGCTATCAGATTACCGTTAGATGAATCCAATATGACTACTGTTAATGGATTAAGAAAAAGTGAAATAATTCTTGTCGAATCTACATTAAACTGTATCTTTTTGAATTCCTACTTATTTGTCAGGATTTACTTTACCCATTTAAATGAGTATCCAGAACTAGGGTATATAAGTATGAATGATTAGCCAGGAAATGTTACAAAGGTTGGATCATTAGACCTTCCACCTACTGCAATATCTCCAGTTAATGAAGATACATCGATCGCTTCAGTCCAAGTATCGTTGTTATCTGATTATAAGAATTTTGGGAAACTTTTACTAGAACATGATGTAGTAGTAGTTGCTGTAGTGTTATAGATTATTTAATTTTACTATGATTCAATACATCTCTATAATATTAAAGTTATCTCTGCGGTTGTAACTCTTTCTACACATGATCAAATCAATTTAGTAGATCATAATTTTTTTTCACCTCTTTATTTTGGCAGGATTTATAAGTCAAGATTACTACTATTGAAAGTAAAAATCTAAATGATTTAAGCAAGAAGCTGATATTACAAAAGTTAAGTCTATTAGATTTTATTGAATTACATCTTTATTTATTTGATAATATTTCTGAAAAGATAATTTCAATTTATTAAAACCAATGACTATTTAATACACTTTGAATTTTCAAACACTTACCATCGATCTAAGCATAATGGGGTTTTGGGGTTTTGGGG